GGGGGGGGGGGGGGGGGGGGGGGGGGGGGGAATGGGAAATAGAGCACCAAGACAAGGACCACGGTGGTCAAAGTAGGGGAGAGTAGGTTCGGGTGAAGCATTAAGACATTGAAAGTGGGGCGGAAAATGGATGAAGTGAATGAGTATGAGAAAAAAATAATATTTTAATACTCTAAAAAAAAAACATTGAATGATAACGGTTGCTCTGAAGTCTGGCAATATATAAAAATAAATGTATCTTCGAATCATAGCTCCCATCCCCAGGAGGTTACAACCAATAAGTTGATATTAAAAGAAAAAAATATTTTTAGGAAATCATCTTTAGCAGATGATGATTAACCATAATTGACTCGTGATGGAATGTCATAACACATTTCAACGGTAGGAACCATATTTTTCCGATTCAAATGTCCGGGACTAAATAGTCCAGACACCATGCAGCTGCCTCTCGCACATGCTCCTTCGTCCGGTGCCATTCGGCTGGAAGAAGTTGCGCTCCCGACGGCGCTTCGCTTCCGGCCTCATGCTTCATAAGTTATCAATTCCCTTCCCCGTTATAAATGAAGATCGTATCTGCCAAATGTAGGAGTTCCCGGGCCCGCTGCAGAATGCAGGGAAATCGGAGTAGGGGGTAGAGACGCGATGCATCTTGGGCAGACAATAATAACATTACATTTAAAGTAAAAGTGGAAAAAAAGGGGGATCTTGGGATCGAATTCGCCGGGTTTCACGGAAAACGCCTGAATCGAGCGGTGTTCGATACCCGGTCTCAGGATCGGTGCGATCCTAATTCAACACGCATCAACACGTCTCGATCGAATTAACCGAAACGGGTTGAAAAGTGAGGTTGCTTGAATGGCTACTACGTAAAAAGAATCGGAGAGTCAGGAATGGAATGTGCTATTGAATGATAATGATGCAAAATGTAAATAATTTGCACACGAGTTCGACGAGAAGGAGAAGTTTAATAAATATAACAGGAAAGTAAAGCTGTAAAATGCATTGCTGATATGTGTGGAAGGTTCTGCTGGTGGTGCCAACAGGAGTCAGGATCTTCTTGGTTTGGCCTTCGGTTGGAAAAACTGACATTTTGTTTGGTTTGGCAGAGTAATAGTGCGAAGCGGTTAGCAGTTCCTGAAGGGAATTGGTAGGAGAAAACTGACGGGTCGGCATTCCGGTCGTCAACACCATACGGCATCGGCCGTACTGTCTTTGATGAAGCTCAGATAATCTGGAACAGCAAGAAAGAATCTCATGTCTCTTTCAACACCTCCGTCATGGATCGGATTTCGTCGGGGAGGAGAAGCATCACTCACTCGAAACTTGGGTGTAAACGCCGGGGAGTAGGATTTCTTGACATCCTTTGGGTCCAAATGAGATAATACCAGCCTGCTCGAAGACATCATTTCCTCTGGGAAGCATCAGCGGTCCTCCTCCATCGCCCTTATGGTTGAAGAGAACAATATCATTAGCAATATAACTTTGTAAAATGTTTTGTGAGATTCTTGGCACTCACCCAACAGACACCAATAGCAGCTGTCCCGCTTGCACAAAACATGTTTTCTGTCAAGGTGTCATTCACCAAAGCATTTTTGCATTCATCAAGGCTCCACGTCTTCACCTCCGCTTCCCTTACGATCTTCGAAGTAGTTGGAATGGTTGCATCTGAGGGAATCAGATGGCAGAAGCATCACTCAAAGGCGCTCCATCCAACAAGTCCTCTTGACAGGGGCCTGTTCCTCGCTAAACTTAATCTAAATTTAAGAGCAGTCTGATGGAAGAAGTCCGTTTATCGCCCAGACGCGTGCTAAAACTTTGTCTAAGAGGTCGATATTTTCAGACGATTCTGATCCAGTCTAAACGCTAGGTTGAATGGTGAGTGAATTCTCTCATTCATGTTTGTTCGATTCCACGAGCAATTCCAAAAATCAGTGTTTACAAATGGCAGAGAATGTTCAATATATTGAGCTGTGAGCTGTGATGTAGGTCCTATAAGGTTTTTCACTTTACGCTTAAAATATCAGTTCCGTGAAATTGCCACGACACCCTCGCCGTTCATGGTATTGACAGTCAGGTAATCGGGTCAGAACGCGGAAGAGACTAGGACCTAGAAAGTGAAACCTACCATCAATCGTTAATCTCATTTGCTATTGATGGCATGACCGAACGTGATTCCCAAGTTTATCAAAAACGACTTTTATATCGTTGCAGCAATAACGTTCAGCAATGGATCTGGCACAATGCTAGTCCCTTAGCCTTTCTGGACGAGTTCAGAGTATCATCATGACTGGATTCTTTCTTCCTTTCATAGAAAATTCAATCTTTCCTAATGGCACTATCTTCCCTTGCAGTGTCAAAAAACTTGACGTTCTCTGCTCATCTTCAAAGCAATTCCATATTCAACCTATTCCCCAAACTGCTGTTTACAAATTCTTCGTTTGAAAAATTAAATACTTGTAGCACCGTAACATCACAAATATACATCTCACATGGATGAACAAGTTCTAACTTGCATTAATTAAGCAATAAATTGCAGCTAGATTATTTACATTTTTAAAATTCATATCATAATAACTAACCAAGGAATGTCCTTGACTAATATTGATCACATATTTAAAATGTTATGCTCGAGAATCATCCTTGGTTATGCAATGCACTACTGTTCAAACTGTCGTCACGAAAATCACTAATCTGTTTGATGTCTATTATTTTCGGGGTGATGGCAAGGGGTAATTATTAAACCGTTAGGTTTACGTATCATCAGATCTCCAACATTGTTAATCACTTATTCGGCTAATAGATGGGAAACGCATAAAATGCTTTACTTGTTCGTAATCAGATATACCGTGCTTGCTTTCGTTTCAAGACGTTCTTATAGGACTCTAGCTTTTGGTCACAATGCAATTCTCAATCTGTGGAATGAGGTAGGGGCAGGAGATGAGAGAGGGGAACCCTTCTGAAAAATCCCGCCTTGCTGGTGTGAAAATAATGCAGCTAGAGTTACTTTGAGAAAAGTAAGTAGTTTATCAAACTTTACAGGTCTGGGAATATATTCTTCGCTGTAGCTAAAACCCTTATCTAGGCTGAATCTAAATCAGAACTAAATCTAAATCGTGTACTGCTGTTTCTCGCTTTCCTTGTAGACGGCTTTCGGGCGAGATTAGGAGTTGGCACTAGGGAGGAACGCGATTTTCTTCCCTGATTGAGGAAAACCTACGAACCTACTCATCGTTCCTTCGACAACCCTTGATGGAGATAGTACTCACCAAAAGACCGAGCTGCCGTAGTGCCCCATCCGACGATGGTGCCTGTCAGTCCCACTCCAGGTGGTGCAGAACCGGGCAAGCATATCGGGCGGATGTTGGGGAACGCTTGCCAGTCCACAGGGGTATTCAGTTTCACGAGGGCCATGTCGTTGTCGTCCAATGCCTTCTCGTTGAATTGGGGGTGGACCAACACATTAGTTGGGAGCAATTCCTGCACCAAGGTCATGGCCTCTGCTGTCGTCGACGTGTCGTGCTCGCCCAGAGTGATCCTGAGTCGCTCAGACTTGTATTCAATAGGCCTGTTTGAGGGAAAAAAAGGAGTGCTTCCTTTGAGGATAAACGAATCATGATTTCCCTATCAACAACATTTGCAAGGTGATCCATATGTCCTCCATCTATGCAAGGAGATTCATAAGTTTTAATAATAGGGCTGAAACGATGCTTCGGCAACCACCTGTATCGGCCGCCAGTGTTGCACTATCGGCGCCATCGGTTATCGGTAGGTTTGCAAGCTTTCGATGTCGATGCATAGGCAAAAACTTACAGGCAAAACTTAGGGGAAAAAAATTATAGTGAGCGTGTAAACGCGAAAAATATATATTGGTTTATATTTCAGCCCTATTCTAGGAACCAGCGGAGAAAAATTGGGCGGGGTTATCATCGCACTTTCTTTTGTTATGCCTTTGCGAGAGATGTGTCGTGAAACTCTCTTAACAGCAGCAATAGGTAACAACCCAGCAAAAATAGTAGCGCTGTGGAAACGTTCAGTTAGAGTCAATACAATGTCATCAACGTTGAAAGTCCAAGTCAAACGTTGCATGAATGTCTTAGCAGTGTTATTGCACGATGATACATTCTTTAATTGCGTTTTTGAATAATATTTCTGGTAACATCATGGAGCATGCCAATCCAATAGGGGATACCTTTCTTTTTTCAAGAAACGATAAAGAATCTAGTTAGAGTAACTAACTAACGTTGACGGAATGCTTCTGCTTCGACGTTCAGCAGCGTAATTTATCAGGGATTCTAGGAACGTGTCGTAAGATGAAAACTGAAAAGCATCGTGAAATGTTGAATCTCTTTTCAGAAGTTCTGATATGGAACGTGTCTGTGCTTGCTGAGGAATGTTCAACCAATCTTGAACTTCGACCTGCACCCTACCCCAGGTATTAGCTCAATGGCCTACCAACATCGGGCACGTTGTCTATATACAAGGTCTGTCCCAAAAGTATTCGAACTTTTTCTATACAGACATTATTAGTTGCGCCATTTGTTGAAAGAAGGTGGCGTTCTATTGGTTGAACCTTCATGTATTATTCTGTTGAGTTTGGTTGGGCTAAGACGAATGAGTCATTGCCTAGGGCGCCAAAAGTAACAGTCCCTAGGCAATGACTCATTCGTCTTAGCCCAACCAAACTCAACAGAGTAATACATGAAGATTCAACCATTAGAACGCCACCTTCTTTCAACAAATGGCGCAACTAATACTGTCTGTATAGAAAAAGTTTGGATACTTTTGGGACAGACCTTGTATATATTGCCATTATTGCCAATATCAGCTAAAAATTTGTTAAATATTGGCATCTCAATTTTGCCATTCTATCATCGATCCAATATAGGGTTGCCTATATTGGTTGCCAATAATTAATATGGACAGTACATATTTCATATGCAATGTCCATACTGCAAACTGATCTTAATATGGACACTGTTTGGTCCATATTTCAAACTTAAGATTTTATTTGTTAACGAAGTCTAATAGCAACCAAAATCGCCCTTTTCCGTAAGTCAAAAGCAGTAGGCCACAACCTTATAGTATCTATTGACGCCTTAGCTTAAAGCGGCTGCGGATGCGAGTATACTTGAAATATTTGTCCATAGTTCCATGTGTCCATATTTTGTTAAATTCATTGGTGGCAACCCTAATCCAATACCGGACTGAAGCGATGATCCAAAGTGCTCAAGTTACACGTAGAAGTTTTTGTTGTTGACGTTCTCTTCCAGGCCACTAGATGGAGGTGTGGGTCTCGCTTTTCGCACAGTACACGAAAGTGGAATTTCCTTTTTTCCATGGAATCACCCCTCACAGGAGTGTTTAGTACCTCGCCACATGAGATCTCCTAGTCCCATTTTAGCAAACAATAATATTTATATATCATTTATCATTTATTATCATTTTATTTATCATTTATTATCCCCATATTCGAGACAGAATCATGGAGCCCAGGCAATAAACAAACTCAAATTTCCTATGAGAAAACCTTGAATTAATAGCTTCACGTTATCCGAAAAGAGTTTCTGAAATTCGATTGTGTAAATAAGTTCTGTCTTTCGGTTCCTTGTCCCGGGGGTAGAGTGATCATTCTGGCCCAGGGAAATAAAAGCAGGACTTCAACTTGAGGATACTTCGTAGATGTTGAGCATGAAAGCGTGAACTATTAACAGGATTGTACTAAAACAATACATTCAGTACTGCGGGATTTTTCCTGTCACTTCAGTCTTGGAATTTTTTTATGAGTCAAAGCGAAGGTAGGGCTGGAAATCGTCGCGAAACGGCAAGCTTATAAGACATCCGATGGAGTTCACGCTCTCTGTGGGGAATACGTCCACTCAGTGCTATCACCGTGCGTCCGATTCAAAGAACGAACTGGGGCTGGGGGGCGTGGATTGTGAGGTGGTTGAGACATGAGCAGTAGGCTCTTCCCTACCATTCGCTCTGTTCTTAGCAGTGAATCAAAGGGCTGCACGAAGGTGAACTATAAAGATAGCCAAACAATAAGGAATGAGAACGGGAAACCAAAGTCACCTGTCTCCGTCCCAGTCTCCACGTCCCTTGCAGCCACGAGCTACCATCCCTGTGATCGGGAAATGGACTCACTCATTTTTTAAGTGGATGTCTTACGGTGCTGAAAGGATGCAACCCCATGAACACACTTGCGATATTGGTCTTCTTCAACTGAAGGAGGATAAATGTGAAAGCTGTCCGTCAGACAGACGAATCTGTTGCTCTCAGTTTTTCGCGCGCATTCTTCCACTTTCCCCATTAACCCATTGTCTTCCCCTCTCCCTCCTCCTCCTTCAACCTTTTCCCTGTCTGCATTCATAAACATTATCGCATCATATCGCAGTAAACAAGTTCTGCTTGTAGATTGCATTTTTGGCTTTGTCAGCAGATGTCGTCTACGCGGAGTAGACAGATAACCAACAATGGTATCGTTCATATCAATGGGCAGGCGGTATAATTTTTGGATATCCAGGATATCGAGAGCATCTCCCGCCGTAGCGGAGTCTATTTTGACGGTCCGACTCTACTGTCTGCTTCGAATTACCCTCACTCATTCACCTTGCGTCTCTTCCTTGTTCAGTATGGCCATGTCCAAATGAAGGCTGTGAAATTAACGACAGGATGCTGAGGCGAGGAAAATAGAATATCGATTCTCAGGTCACTGAGCCGAGCCGAGACGGCTTAACCACGTCTAAGCCGCTTAATTATCTTAATCTGTTAGCACGTCCTGAACGGACTCAATAATTCTCGACGCCTAAAATAAAATCTAGGCTGATTTCACCTCTCCCACTGTGAGAGGATTGGGATCAAATGAATAAACGAACGAGCCAGCAAATTCTCGAGCTTGGCAGCCCCAACGAAGAAATGCAATCGCTTTAGCGCGCAACCATTCTTGTAAAGGAAAATATTCGCTATCCTTGCTGCGTAATTCTCCTGGAAAAGTAAAACAATTCATTCGAATCACATGGACTGCCCAATTCTTCCTCAATCCATCAAGAATCTCGAACTATATATAAAAAAAAGGTATATGTTACATTCGGTATTTTTCATGCATTAAGTTGACACAATACGTGATGGAAGTTACATCCTAATCAATGCCCTGACGTGCGCATCAAATGTCCAGAAATCTAGAAGAGCAAAGGCAAAAATAGTTTACCATTGGTTCGTTTCAAAAGTTCCCACTCTCTCTCTCTTTCTCTTTCTCTTTCTAGTGGGCCTCTTTTCCTGAAAGGAAAGAGACCACTCATGGTCCTGTCCCGTCTGCCTGTGTGTCAGTGTATCACACTGGTTGTCTGACGATATATAAGAAAATATTGGCCTGACCGATGCGAAAAGGAGAAGCCGACTTGATAGGGCACAGTACCCCAGGCAGGGCGTCCAATGTAGGCAGCACACGGTTGCCCAAGTCAATTGTTGGAAATAATTTTTTTTTAAATATATTTTAAGTATCCTACACCCTAGGGTGGATTAAGGGAGGGAGGGGGGGGGGGGCAAAGGGGGCTATTGCCTCGGGCCTCACTTTTCCAGGGGGGGCAGGGGGAAATTTAAAACGTTAAGTTCTTACGCAATGTAGCAAATGTAAAAAAGCAAAATTTGCACCATCAGTGCTTGACTGTGTGATTCCTCTACACTCCTCAAGGGGAACTTGCACCACCAGGTAAAATGTCAAGGGAGGGAGGGGGGGGGGGGGGAGCCCCAAGAATTCACCTGCTCGGGGCCACGCTACCTCTGAATCCGGCCCAGCTACACCCACATCTGCAGGAATGACAAGTGGCATGTAGATTAATGCACTGAATAGCCACTCTCGTGTGGGCGTGCTGGCCGTTAAAGTTGTTCGTTCCAGTTTTTGGTTCGCCCACGATATGGTTAAGGGGCACGAGAAGAGCGGCCGATACATCAGTCTCTCCGTCAGGACTGATCAAGCCACAAGACGTGAATGAGCAAAAAGTGGTTGAGGAAATTACCGTCTAATCTGACGCGTCTTATGTACTACCCCTACGCTAAACTCATCCGAAAGCTTGTCGGCGGAAGAGTCCGCTGCCACCAGGACTCGATCTCCTTCCTCTCTTGATCGAGTCGGAAGCCACTCGGCCACCGAACTCAGTTAAATCTGGATGCTGCTCACAAGTTAGCGGATGAAGGAGAATCCAGGTCTCGGCGCCACTGTTTCTGCAAGTAGAGAGCCTTCCTGGGATCGGTCGAGACTTAATATTCGATTTACCAAACGTTTAGATGGAACTCTTCGATTCTTGATTAGTAGAACTGGCTCATGATTGCATAAGTCGGGGCATTGCCTTGACAATTCTAGTTTCCTCGGGACATTTCCGTCCTCTTCTCTCTTTTCACAAAGAGAAGTACATTATTTCCACGTTTTCAGCAAAAATCCATTCCATTTGGGAAAGTAAATTTCCTTCATATTTTGTACGTAGTACAACACGGTCGTGTCGACTGTGACCGTCGACGTATTCTCAAGACAACTACGTCTCTGGATAAGGAAATCCTGCTTTTCACAACCGCTGTCCTACTTTTTTTCCAGTTTAAAAATCAGGCCACCTAGAGATGGCCTGATAGGGATGGCTGCCTAGAAAAGCAAGTGCAAAACTTGAATTTCGGCTTGTCCGTGACATTCATGTAATTACGAAATTCGATTTTTTTCAATAAATAATGCAAGTTCTTATTCCATCAATCGTTGAAGCAGAATGCCAATAATTAGATATGACATGCTGCATTACCATCGAAGACTTCACCATCTATGAATCTGAATACATCTAACAGACATAATTGCTTCTCATAATTGTCACAACTGGTACCGATTCTTGAAGTCGTGGAAAGCGCGAGCAGAGAAGGGCTCATATGACCATGACTCGAGAAGAAATTCCATCAAACTGGCAGTGCCGGCTGGTAATGTAGTGTGCCGATACTTCATGTAAACTCGGCTCTCTGAAAAACTGAAGATGAGAATTCGACGCCCGTGGTGGGCAGGAAACCTCTCGCCAGGACGCTAGAGAACGAAGGACTGTTCAGACTACGAGCTATGGTTTGGACATGGTTCGCTGCGTCCCCGTCCATCTACGTCCGTAGTTGTTACTCTGGTCACGTGACTTGGACTGGCCAATCGTGATGTCAGCATCATCGTTCAATTCGGAGGAGAGGACGTTTCATTGATTGTGAAACAGCTAACAGATAGTGAAATTTGTGAAAATAGCATGCAACTAGACAATGGTGCAGCTCAGATACAAGCGATCTTTCTCAAATGTGGACTCATCTCTTACATCCCACTAAATTTCATACAGTAAGTAAAAACCTCTTAGCAACAGAACACGTTCTTTTCTGCGAGGCATGATCTCTTATATAAAAATGTGAGCGACATCCCACCTTCGAGCGTATTGATCTTAATTGGCCTTTACGACATTCAGGGTCAGTCTGAGTCAATGATCACATCTGATCACTGACTAAACTCGTGGTTAAGCTGTACTTTCGTCGAATATCATGTTTTTTTTAAATATCACATAGTGTACATCTGACGTGGGCTTATTTGCTTCACTAAAAGAAAATACAGTATGAGCCGAAGTAGCTCCTGTAAAGGGAGTTTTCCAGACCATGGTTCCCTTTATACATGTACATGGGAAGATGTCGGAACACTGAATGGATAGTTGGACTTACGGCAGTAAGAAGCAGTGAGCTGCAGTGAGGAGGTATCGATCGTTGATCAAGGTTGCTCCGCAGTCTTCGAACACAATTTCCGAATTATTTTGGAGAGTCAGTATAACAGCGAGTTTCGCCATCCAAGGATATTTCCCAGGATAGTCGACTTCCTTGCCCCCGAGGATTCGATCTAGCAGGGTCCCCCTCAGACTTCCGGGCAAAAACGCAGAACGTCTTGGGGGCACACCAAGTTTTCCACACGCTGCCGAATGATAACGGACAAGGTTCACGGTGCATTTTCGGGATTTCTTTATACAGAGTTGACCAAAGAAATGCTAGCCATTTGAAAATTTCCTACAAAATCCATCAATTTGAACGGATTGACTTGCAAATTTAATGGAACGTCGCCTAATATGATTTTGAAGAGCTGGTAACATTTCATGCGCCTGCGACAAACCACCCTTGAGTTATGGCAGATTTTGTGGAAATTAAACAAATTCCCAGTAAAGAGACATGCCGTTGCGAGGTACGAATCCACATAAGATCTTTACTTTAAAAATGTGTTCCTGTAGAAGGATCATCGTGAAAACTTACCATGACGTTGTCAGAAGTGTGTTTTTCACAACCAATGCAAATGTGGATTCTTGTCTAGCAACGGCAGTCGCATGCTTGCTCCTTCAGAATTGTGACAATTTCGACAAAATCTGCCATAACTCAAAAATTCAGGGCGCATGAAATTTCAAGAGTTCTTGGAGAACATATTAGGCGGTCTTTCCTCTCAGACCAAGCGTCCATTCCAATGGACATTTGCATTTACGTTGTGTCTATGGCAATTTCTTAGGATTCTCGTGACTTTGAGCACCATATTACACTACAATGGGCACAATTATGCATGGCTCAGTTCCATCAGAGGCCTTCTTTCACCCATTAGTTTTGTCATCTTCAGTTATTTAATTAAATGTATAATATATAATATATGGTATGATATGGTAAATTTATACAAAATATATAAACTACACATAAAGCATGAAAATTTTCAATTACAATCACGAAAGAGCTCAAAAATGCAAAAAAGGATATTATTCCAATAGCAGACTTAATTCAGATCTGAAAGGGTTAAATTTCCAAGTAAATCCGTTTAAACTTATGAATTTTACAGCGATATTTCGAGTTCACTTTTTTTTTTTGCCAACCCTGTAAATATAACAAAACTTTACTCCTTTCCGATGGGAAAACTGATTGAACTGCCTTAATCACTCAAGCCGATTACACACGTACTGATTATATGGGCCTTTAACGACAGGAAATTCCAGGACGTTGAGTGCTGATTTCCACGTTTCTCATATATTACCAAGTGCTGCATTGAGAACCAAGACAAGAGGCGACATGCACCAGATTCGTTTAACTTTAAACTGATTTGTTTTCATAATGGGCGACTATGAAAATAAGTTTATCTCGGTTAAACTGATTCCCCTAGGGGACCATTGTGAGATCAGATTAGTTTAGCTTAAACGGATTCGGTGCATGTTACCTAAGATTTGCTGTTTTTTCTTCTCATTTGGCATGAGAAGACTTCTTTCCCCATATGAAAACAGGAGAGTTATTTATTTATTTATTTACGATAGTTCATATGCTACCCACTGCAATCGGCTTGACGATTCGAGCCTGAGACAGGACGTGGCCTGTCGAAGTCCTGTCTCCGTTCGCCTCCACCTGAAATAAACGAATATGAAACCCATGAAACTCCAACGGCTTCCAAAGAACCCAATCCCCTGAAGTCCCCACGGTCTCGAGCACTCACCACCACACTCAATGTTGCATCGGACGTTTGGAGCGGACCGAGTGGGACCGACCGTGTACAGCATGGCATTCAGCGTCCTCCCAACGTGCATCGATGATCTCAGCAGACCCTCTTTGCCGCAGAGACTGACAAAGCAAAAATCTCAATAGCTATGCCTCAAAAACACCCAGCATTTAACACCATTACGGAGGGATTGCAGCGATACGAAAGTCATACTTTAAAATAGGCTACTACAAGAACTTGGGGTATGAAATGGCTTTTATCAACCATTGCCCGGAAGAATCCATCTATATGCATATTACGAGTATTTATAATAAATACAGTAGTATGTTTGCTATACCTCTTCCCGTTGATGACAAAATCGGCGTTTCTGCATCCTTGAGAACCGGAGAGGTCAATTTTTGAACAGCTCACCCTCATGTCTGTTGGACACTGAAACATACATCGAGCATTCCGGACGACTATAAGCAAAGTATGAGAAAATTTTAAAAGATAGAACCATGGAAACATACCGTGAAACGGTATCTGCAAGATTCTACAAAGCCGTTTCCGCCGGCAGACAGAGAGTCCCTTAGATTGAAGGCTTCTCCAGGGATAAGATGCTTGCTCGAAAAACAAGATGTATCCACCTCAGCTACAGAAGATGTCAAATCAGACTTTTTTTGGTCTGAGTAATTAAAATCAGGTTAATATTGATCTATTCCCCGTGGATCAAACACTATTTACTGCTCTTACATAATTTAGAAATTAAGCCTGAAATTCCTCTTACGATATGGGTCACTTTATTTATTTTCCAGAGGCATCATTGGCAGTTCCCCTTGAGAATCAACATCAGAAAATGATCGTGTGAATTTCTATCCATGGTAGAAATATCAACATAATGTGCTTAGAAATTAACAATGGAATTCACTGCAAATACCCAAAAGCCGATTTCCACATAAACCTTCCCCGGTCAATACATGGCAACCCAGAGAACGTGAGAACTAAAATTCTGTGATAGCCTTTCATTTATCGTCTCATGAACAGCCAAACGTTAGAAAGCAAGAAAGGAAAACGTCAACGACGCAAGCACGCGATTATAGACAGATATTAGCAGTAAAAAGGAAACGAAAAAATAAATACTCACCGCCTGGCAATAAGGAATTCTGCGGCATCGCCCCACCCTATAGAGAAAGGGACGAGTGATGCACGACATGAATAACAAGGAATCTCTTTTCAGGCATTCATCTTTCTTTCACCGATGTCGGAAGGTGTTCGTTTTCCATGCTCCAGCTCTAGCCATAGCTAAGATGTGCCCACCCTAAACATTTATCCCATCCATCCCCGCAGTAAATAAATTAGCACGATGAAATGATAAATATACATGTGACCATAACATAAAATTGCATGGATAGGAAGAATTTTAGGCCTATGATGTGCCCGCTTTCTGTTATTACGAGGGTCACTCAATAAGTTATCTACCTGAATAAGAAAGAAACATCCGAGGGGAAAAATAGCACTTCATTTTTCAATGTAGTCACCTTTTAACTCGACACACTTATTCCACTTTGATTCCAATGATTTTATTCCCTGGGAATAGAAGTCAACTTCTTGTCCATCGAACCAATCAGAAACGGCAACTTTCTGCTCATCCCTTTCATATTCAGGTAGATAACTTATTGAGTGGCCCTCGTAGCAGTCCTTTTTTTTGTTGCTCTCGTATTGTTAACTTGTCTGGTGAATGCAGCACGACATAAAATGAATAACCTTGACAAGGAATGAAATTCTGTGAACCTGTGAACACGATGGTCTATAGTACTAACTCAATCCGGAAACGATGTAGGCCCTCGTTATACCTAAGTATATAGGGTCCAAACAGGATGAGGTCCAACATTTGGTAATAACCAAGGAGTATACCCAGGCTTAGCTCATGCTGCTGTCCAAGTTCGAACATTAGGCCCAACGGAACGTGCCAGGTGGTTAGTGGTCGTTCAGCATCGAAGTTGCCAAATTTTTCGCGATGTTGAGCAAAATATACGTTCTTCCCAATCAATCAGTGTGTTATAGCGTATGATCTGGGATAGAGTTGTAGTTTTACTAACACAATGCAAATGAAGAGCCCCCGTGGGTTTGCTAAGTATCAATGCACCATCTAAAGGCGAAATTTGAATTCAACTCTAGGCAGTCATAGGGATGCACCAGATCCGTTTAACTGATCCGGTTTCATAATGAGCGTCTATGGGAAAATGAGTATCTCCTTCAAACGGATTCCCATAGAGGACCATTGTGAGATTAGATTAGTTTAAGTTAAACAGATTTGGTGCATGTCACCCATTGCGCATGGTTCCACCCTAGCTAACCATTTAAGGCTATCTAATATTTGATAATACATTAGGTGCTGCTATCCTCACAATTTCCAATCAAGCCAAATAGTCTTGCCTTAGCGCTGGAGAGGAAAAGAAGACATATCGAGAAGAGCAACATTTCCATGGTTGCAAGAAGTCGACCTGCCACCACACAGCAGGGTCACACACACAATGGCTTCTCTGCTCGGTCAGAACATGCTTTAAAGGCCTGTTTCTGAAGAGACGATTACTTCATATTCCGAGCTATTTTTCGTGTGCTAAATCGGACCAGTTCATCAGAGGAAGGCCCTGTTTGGTGTTGAAATATTGAGGAAAATACGAGCTGGTCCATGACCGGGCCAGACTCATCGGGTTGGATTTCCCAAGCAGACTCGATCGACTGCTTTTCGGTTGTCTCTCCGGTCTCTCGCGACCCACCGGTTGAGGACCACTGTTTCATGGGACATAGCATGAGCTTCACATTTGGTATAGTCACGACTGGAAAGTACAGTGAGGTGTTCTCAAAGTTTCAATCGTATATCGCATACAGTGGGGGTGGTTTAAGGGGTTAGACCCCCCCCCCCCCCCCCTAGGTCGGTCGCTTATGCAAAGTCCATTCGCTTTTAGAAGAGCTAGTCGGAAAACCAGGTTGACAGCAGCGATTCCTCGGACCCATTAAGTCGTAAATTCATTAGGAGATTTCTGACAATTTTTCTTTTCACGCCCGAATGGGGATCATAAATCACTTGTTGAGGTCTCATGTCAGATTTGTGAGAAAAATCAGTTGCCAGAAACAAAGAGAATGCTTCAAGAAGGAAAATTAAATTTTATTGGTGCATGTTGCGCCGATGTACCTGACAAGGTAACTTGAGAAATGTTAAGTAGAAAAAGTTAAGTAGTTAAGTCCACGGCCCTTGCATTTCACGTCCCCTCTCTTCCGCAATACAGGTCAGTGTAGAGGCATGAGAGAATATCCCCATCTCTCCGAACTGTCACCCAACAGGGCTGATTGAGAAGGTGCTAGTTGCTTGCCCTCTTTCCCCTCAGTCACTCATTTAACCACGACAACAATCGGCCTCTGAGAGATAAGAAACTAGCTTTTCTCAAAGTGAATGGACTTTTCAAACCCGCCGCGCGATGGGTCCCCACCCTCCAGCCAATCGCGTACAGCGTTATAAAGACACAAATTGGCCATAAGCTGCCGCCGGCAGGACAAAAGGTCATGTATGAAGTGGACGCTTCTTCTTAAAGATCATTTTTCTCTGATGAAAGGATTACTTATTACGGTAGAAAAAAAAAGCACTGCGAAACCTGTGGACTCGGCCACCTTGATATTACGGCCAGAAAAGAACAGTCCTGATCGTTAGCTCCATAGACATGTTAAAATAACCTGTTTTATCCGGGGCCACCTTTCTAACGCGGCCAGCGGCCAAGGAGTTGTAGACCCTCTCTGCTGCCCATTCGTTAATTCGGCCAGAACACAGGAAGGTTTATTTTCTTTCTCTTTTTTATTTCCCCGCCTTGCAGCTTCCCTCCTTTCTACCCTCTCGCTTTTCTTACTCCTCCCCTCCCAATCCCCAAATTGACTCGTCGCTCGGTTGTCAAGGTCTCATCACCGGAGTTTCGATAGAAAGAGAACGATCAGTGGTGTAAGCAGAAATCGGCAAGGGGGGGGGTTGAGGCCAGGTCGACACCCCAACCCTTCGCCTAGCTCCATTACCCTGAATTTACCTTTTCGAAGAAATCGTGGTCTGGCATCTTTGGCCTTGTGAACGGACATCGGACTTTCCTCGAAAGGGGATATCTAAAATTGGAATTCCCAAGGAAGGTTGAAGTATGTCTGCCAGTGTCACTGACCGGAAAGCACCAAACCCGTATGTATCAATACAAACCCTTGGCGCGATGGGGCCCCTATCCTGCCCTCCAGCCTATGAGAGCCCTCTTCTCAATAGAGAAGGAAGCGCGGTTATCCCAGGCAATAACAGGCAAACCTGACTTTTCAAGAGCTATCTCAATACCTTACTGTTCGACCTCACATCAAGATTAACGATGGCATTGGGACGAAGGCAACAGTAATATTAAATTTAATATATCAGTAGGAAAATTGGGTAATTGTATGAGATGTGACCTATCGTATGATGAATGATGATGAATGGTTTATTTCAAATGGGAGGGGTAGTGCGAAAGCAAAGTGATCTCCCGCGTCAAGCATATAGATACGAGTACAAAAGCAAAAATGGGTCAGGATAGGGAGAAAGAAAAAACAGGTAAAAGCATGAGGATGTTATGGTTACAGAGAGGGGGAGGGGACCACCAATACGAAAAAAAGTAATAACGTAAAACGGTAAAAGGTAAGAATGGCAAAAAATGGGGAACTGATACCGGATGGGTCACACAGCCTTGTTTAGTAATCTGGTCACACTGAGAACAGTAGAGTCATAAAAACGTTTCGTGCGACATTTAATTTCGCACAGGAGTTTTGTCAAGTCGTGGTGAAGATTGTAGTTAGTCGGGGTCCGGTAGGGGGGTAGAACGTGTCGGCGGTAAGGATTTCTCAAGAGGGAGGCACCATATTTAGCAGTCAGGATGGCTCTCCTTTCCTGCAGTGAGGGAAGTTTGAGGGAGGCAAGAGCAGCCTCATATGAGGAGTAATTGGGACTCAGGATGAGATGCAGAGCACGCTTCTGAATTAGTTCCAGAGAATGGGTTTGAGAGGCAGTTAGGGATGAGTGCCATAGGGGGGCAGCATACTCCAAGAGGCGGATGTAGGCAGTCCACACTAGGACGAGCTCAGGTATGGAGGCTCCGTATGTTTTCAAGACTTGCAGCATAAAGACGCGTCTAGATGTTTTGGAAAAGACGTTCTTAAAATGTTTGCGTCTCATCTTAGGTCTGACTGAATCATCACGCCTAGGAGGCGCACTACTTCTAATGATTGTAGGCAGCCGCCATCGATGGTTAGGTGATGAGCTGGGATGGGGTATTGAATGAGCACTTTTCTGGATTCAGTTTCATTTTGTTTAATTTGGCCCATTCGTGCTCTTGATCTAGGGCTTCCTGGAGATTAGGGGGGTCGTTTTTTGAGTGACCAGAAATCATGGTTTTGTCGTCCACATATTTGAACGACAAGGTTCCTTCTTGGAGGTCATCGTCCACCATCACGGAAAATAAAAAAGGGCCTAGAACCGTCCCTTGAGGGATCCCACACGAGGGCGGGACTTCCTCAGAAAGGACTCCTGAGTACCGGGTCTGTTGGGCTCTGCCTTGGAGAAAAGCAGCGATCCAGCGAATCAATAGTTATAGTCTATGAC